CCTGAGCCGAAGGCAGACGCTTAACGACTGAGCCACCCAGGCACCCCGAAACTATACACTTTCTAAGTGGGAATATTTCACAGTGTATTATAATTATGATCTTTATTTAACTTGTAGATTTCGGCTTATATGGCATTCTTTATTGGGAAACTTACCACATGCAGGGCAAGGCTGGATACATAAAATTTGGAGATAGAATTGAATTTTCCCATTTACAAAAGCATAAATCCCCGTTGAGGATGAGATGTCCTTACCTCCCCAGAATGGAAAAGGAAGCTTGTGAAGGGGGCATAGGCGACTCTTTGTGTTCCTTTAGGTTTTCACTAAGTCTAGGTGTTCTTACTCTACCTCTTTTCATTCCATTCACTCTTTCTCCACTGTTTCTTTGTTCTATCGTTGTTTTCCAAACATTCCATACCATTGACTATTCCACTTACCATTTACTATATTATATTTACGATGCTGTAGCTTTTGCATAGGGAAAGTGAAGCCCTCACATTTATCTTCTTTGTCTAGGAGGAATAGAGACTGAGGTATTATTCGGTCTGGGATTCCTATCTTAACTCCTAGAGTCTGAAGTAAGTACCCATCTTCCATAACGCCAAGGTAACACTCTGCACGCATTTATCATATTTTGGATTCCACCAAATTGGAGATGTTGGCTCAGTTCACTGCTTCTTTCATCAGTTTCCTGTGGGCTAGAGACTGAGTCCTGTCAGCTTCCCCTCCTCCAGGCTATCTTCCATCAATCCTTCCCTCAACTCAATCCCTTTTAACATTGAAATCTCGCCTGCCCACACCAAACCTCTGTGCTCCCTCCTACCTGTCAACTCCTGAAATGGATTTCTGCAACGCTCACAATCATCTATGACTTGCTTCACTTTCTACTTCTAGTTTAATGTTCACTCTATGTCTTATATTGCTTCCAACTAGTTCATAATGAGATTGTATGATTTGTTATTGCCACGCCCCACTGTACTGTGCCAAGCAAAATACTATGTATACAACATTTGTTTATTCATTTAAAACATGTGGTCATTCAAATGACAAAATATCCATTCCTTCATATATACATAGATATGAAAGTTTTATATATATGTGATGAATAGAATACATATATGTATATGTGTATATGAGTATATGTATACATATAAATATATATAAATGAGCATATGTATACATATATGCAAATATAAGTGCATACATGTAAACATAAATGCACATTATTATATGTATACATACAGATAAATACATATATAATTTGTCTAGAGAAATAGTATCGGAAGCATTATTCTGTATGGAATGCCTGTCTTGACCCCAGTAATCTTTGTTAGTGCCTCTTTTCCATAGTCTATAAATCTACTCATCATACCTTAGATTCTACTGAATTGAAATTATTTATATATGTATATGTGTATGTGTGTATATATATATATGTATGTATGTGGGTGTGTAGGTATATGTGTTTATGTGCATGCATGTATGAATTTCCTACTACATGTATTGGCTATATAATACATTTCAAGTTTATAATTCTTTTTATTTGGCTTATTACTAGAACAGATTCAAAATATCTTTCCACTTGAGATTCATTGATGAAAACAGTTCTTAACATCATTATAAATTTTAACCTTTTAAATAATAACTATTCAAATAATGTTAGTAAGAATTACTTGGTATTAAATATTTAGCACACATATTTCTTTAAATTTGTTGTCATATGTACATGGGTGTTTGTGTTATGCATTTTAGGTATAGCTGTAGAATACTTTAAATGCCAAGAAAACGTGAGGAAAAAATGAATATCATCAACATTAATGAAAACAAGGCTTAATCCTTGACAGATAATTACTTGCACAAGAAATGCTTGCACATTTATTGAAATGTTTTAATCCCTCTCTTTAAGCTGAATGCTATTCTCCATTTATGTCTTTTTTTTAAGGCTGCTTCCATTTGTCTGTTCCATCTTTTTTTATTAGAATAACCATTACCCACTGGCAATTACTCTCAAAACACCTATGTTGGGGCATTTTAATCTATTGATTGCATTCATCTACCATCTCAAAATTAATTAAGTAAATTTAAATCCCAACTGCCCCCATTTCATTGTAATTTCTCTTATATCATATTTTTTTATACTATTTAATGCCACTGAAAGTTCATATAATGGTAATCCTCAATTTCTCTTCTGTACGTTTGTATTTATCTATTTCTGAGTACAGATTTTCATGACAAATTCGCCACATTTTCCCTTCCACTGGGACTTAGTTCCATGTTTTCTTACCAAGAAATCATTAAGTCCTCTCCCCCTAAATTTTGTGTGAGCCACAAATTTTTTTTTGTTACTTGTTTTGTTATTTTTTATTATTTTTAGCAAACTTCTATTTGAAGTAGAACTTAGCAATAATCATAGAGGAGTCTCAAAAGTGAATAAATTATACTTTTGTGAGTTGGGAGTTGGGAGGGGGGAGACAATGAGTGTATTTTCCTGCTTTAGTTTAGTCTAATGATTTGGAGACTTAACGGTATACAAAAGGATTGTGGAAAATCTAAAGAACATAATGCAATCATCCCTGTTGCTCAAGTGCTGAGCACTGATCTCAATTAAGTACTTAAACTCTGTCCTAAGTGGGAAGGATACATGCAATTTCTCACTGAACAGCATTTCTGTTATCTCCATAGAATACCTGAGATTCTCACATTTCTTTCTCATGAGTTTATATTGACTTTAAAAAACTAGGACAAGAAAAAGACAAAACCACAGCAAGGGTTTTTTGGGGCCATTAATGTAATACCTAGGGACAGAATAAAGTTTCTAGGAGAATATTTCTCAAAGTGGGTGTCACAAAGTACTAGTTCCATAAGATGCCTCAGGACAAAGGGTTTTATGTCATAAAATTTGAGCAAACTTGAAGTCAAGTAGTAAAGAAATCTCTTTACACGTTCATCCGTTGTTTTTGTCTTTATTTTTAAAATACCTATTAAAATTCCGTATTTTTGAGAAAGACTAGAATATGGATAATAGGACAGGGTGAGGGGATATGAATGAAACTAATGCAGATTTTATTGCTTGCAAATATATCTGGAAGCCTTGCTCATTGCCTCTTTCGATTAGCTCAAAAACATTCATCAAAAAAGATACTTTCCCAGAGAGCGGGGCCCTACTTCACAGAAGATACTCATCTATTTATGAGGGCAAAAGTTAATTCTGTTTTAACCATTTTGTATGATTCTTAGCACATGTCGCAGTACTAGCTTGCAAAACAAGTGAATAAATAACCAAAACAAGCAAACAAAAAACAAGCCATTTGTCAGAAACAAATTATTCATAAATGTTGTCTAGAGAAACATTGTGTAAAAATTGTCCAAAAAAGTTGTCTACTCCCTAAAAGCTGTATCCATCAAAAGCATTTTATAGACAAAGGGTGCTATGGTGTCATGATCTGAGGGCAGTTACAGTGGCCTGCAAATTCCCTATCATGGACATTGACCTGCGCCCCAGGTACTGTATTTGAATCACAAACCACAAGTGCCTTTCCCTGATTAATTGCCAAGGTAACTGATTATGTGTATTTCTAGTAGCTTGACTGCTTCCTGGAGAAAGCATGTGGGCTGAAAGATACAAAGGCAGGTCACACACAGCCTTACAGTTGTCCTGCATTGTCTTTCGGATTCTTGAAGGCTTTGTAACTCTCAAAGACCGAATTCCTTCTCTGGGCGTGGAGAAAACTCCTCCTGAGGCTGAGAGTGGAAACCAAGACTGCACTAAATTCATGGAGATGAAAGAGCCCTTGAAACCATTGGAGACAGCATGTTAAGCTTTCTGCCTTACTAGGTCTTTTACGCTTTTCTTGTGAATTCTTGCGATTGGTTTTTCAGTTAGTGCAGTTTTATTTCACATCTCTGTTTGAAGTGAAATTTCGCATGACCTTGGCCGATCTTCTCTTTGGAAGATAAAAAAGACAATTTCACAAATTGAGGACATTAAATATTATTTCTTGTTAAAATGCTTTCCTGAACCACTGGTATATCTTTTATTTAGCTAATATGTAATAATCACGAGAGCACAGTGTATTATTTTAATAAATCTTTCCAGTAATTTTGCCCTTTTGCCATTTGTAGGTGTTTCCATAATGCACCCAGATTCAATAAAGCAATGAGTGTTTTGTAGTTCTTCTACTATATATCATATTGGTAACTGATATATTTGTCTTTAATCACACGTATTATGCCATTGTATTATATTAATGCAACATTATTTGTAATTCCTCTAATACTGTTTTATTTCCCTATGTTAATCTAAATTAAATGAAACTCTGAAGTGTATTATCCACTTACCATGTGCTTTAAAACCAGTTTTAAATAAATTGTTTTAGAGTTCAGTAGTTTTATTTCATTTTTACTATTACTATATTATCGTAAAGAATACAGGAGCTTTTTTTATTTTTAGAAATAATTTGATCCTGTAATTGTACTTAGTGAAAAAGAATGAAATATTCATGAAGTACAATAAAGTAGGGAATTTCTCTTTTCTACCCAGTCTCTAATATAACTTTTCAACATCCATCCTCTTATAAAAAGTTATCATTAGCTATTCTAAGGCAATTAAGAAATACCCACTTTCTTCCCATTCTCATATTTATTTACATTTAAAGAATAATTTTTGAAGGTAATTTTGTAGATAAGAAGGTTGTATTCTGTCTACCTGAAGGTCTTTATAGGGTGGGGGAGATCAGATCTGGAGAGTAGGGCTTAGAAGAGGTGGAATCTCTAATTTCAAATGCTTTTTATATTCTTCATTAGTGTCATCAATATAGTCACTACTATAAGTCAATGTCACTGTCTAGTTACCACCGCCCAACCCATTACCAAAGCAGAAAATCAGATTATGCATTTGGTCACAAAATATTAATGTCGAATTGCAAAAGTGACAGAATGGTCTGTGTTTGATTTTTCTACAGGCAAGTCTGTTTTACATAAATGGCTTTTTTACAAATTTGAAATGTGAATATATTTTATTTTTTCCCAGTGAGTACACAATACACAATTCTTTGACAATACTATTAACCAATTTTATGCCAATTTCTTTTCTGAGCTAACAACATCAAATGAAACACATTAAGATTTTGGACGCTGTTTGGTGACTTAGACTAGTTAAAAAAAAGTCCATCTATAAAACAAAGTATAAAAAGTCTACCCACGGCCACAAAATCCCTTATCTTGCAACACTTTAAAGTCACAATAAATGCTTTTGAAAATGATGAGATAAGAAAATGATGAGATAAATGGAACTTCACTGAAAAAAGGTATGGGGTTTCATTTGAAGTACACATGATAGAGAAGCCAAAGTAACTTCACCTCTAAGATGATGTGGGAAAACATTGCTTTACACCAATTCTCGTCATGTAACTTTATAAATACAATGTACAGAAGCAGATGTACAAATTAGTGAATGTCATGGTTCTTCATATCTTTAATACTGACACACAATCACTTTCCAGTGGCGAAGATAAACCACAGTTTAGAGCTCATTGGTATTCGTATAATTATGTTGACGATGGACAGTTGCATAAATTTGTTGAATAGAAATTTGGAGGTGTTCTATCAGAGCTCGTACAAACTTTCAACTTGAATCCTATTGAAGATATTTTTAAATACCCAGAGCATTCAACTATGACATAGAACACCATTTTATCTGTTTTGTTACTTAGAACAAGCATACTTGCAATGTATTTACTTCCCTTTGTTATAGGACACCTTAGGTGTTCGTCTTGATTTTCCTATATGCTCCCTCGAACTGGATTCAAATCCTGTGAAGGAATCCGTTGTTTTCAAGCCCCTGTACTATCCCACTTTAAATATGGCATGGAAAAGATCTGGAAAGGGGTGGGTCGACTCTGCCTGCATGCTCGGAGGCATACCTGAGTTGGGGTGCTGGCTGTCTTTTCCCCAGTGGAGACGTGGCATGTTGAGAATGGAGCTGTGTTGTTTGGGGCTTGACTGCACAGCAGCATGGCCTGTGAGTACAAGGGGAGTTTGCGTTCTCTCCCAACCAGATTTCCTTCTGACAAGTTATGCAGGCCTTGTGTAGACCTGAAGAAGAGTGAGCTCAGTGAATTTCTAATCACATTCATTCAATGGGCTACAAAATGAAAAAAATTCCGGGAAGGCTTATACATGTTTGCATTCTTCTAATGACATTCTGACATACTGATTAGAAGCTTTTAACATATAGTAAGTTGACAAAAGCTTTTGATTTTTGGATAGGATTCCTGAATTCATTTGGATAGCGATAGCATTTTGTCTTGCTCTGTATCTGTGTGAGGATGATATATTGGGTGCAGGATTTTACTAACCAATTTACATATAAAACTAGACTTAACAGAGAATGTTAAGGGAATGTTCTAAAAGAACATTCCAAGTAACTGTAGGGTCTGTACTGACAAAACCTAACCAAAACGGTTACGTTTTATACACTGAAAATAATCAGGAAGGTATGATGCTATGTCCTGCGTTATTCCAGAAGTCACTTTTATACCCATACTCTACACTGAAGTCTTGGTTTATTTGTCACATTAGGGATCAACATATACGTGTAATAAATGTAATGAATTAAAGCTTTACTCTAAAGTGGGTTACAGAGAAGCATAAAGAGGGAACACAAATGAACAAAACTTTGTTTGCTTTTAAATAGAAAGAGGTGAAGTAGGGAACCGCATAAATAAAAATTAAATTCCTCACATCCTACAGTTGCGAATAGTATGTAGTCATTCTTCACAGGAACTTCTCATCTTCCCTGGACAATCTGACCCAGAGAAAGCAAACTGCATTAAAATTCAGGCACTGGTGGTAGAAAGTTGATAAAGCATTTAATAAGTGTGTCTCAGAATGTTTTTTCTCTTCGGTGAAGAAATGAGCTACATGGCACCAAGAAGATGTTGGGGGCCATAAGGAACATTACGTTCCTCCACTCTTGCCTGTGTTGATGCAGTCTCAGGGAACAAAAAGGATAGAGAAAATGAATTATATTATCCCTTTGCTATAACAATAGGATATGGAATTGGTGACTGAGCCAATCATGCATGGGAGTATGAATTGTCATTCAAGCAGGTCCCATATTTTAGAAATGATTCTAATCATTACATCGAACATTTTTCAAAATACCAACTACTGAACACATCATAGGAAAAACATGAGAAAGTATAACTAGAAATAGAATTTACAGTCGTGTAGGCAGCACACAGAAAAAATGTCACAAGTGGGAATTTCAGGGAAGGTCTCTTCTACTTGACTGATGGACTCTACGCATACAGGGGCTGACTTATATTTCAAAGTCGGATTCATTTTGACCATATATGACTGATGTTCAGGAATTTCTTGTTCTCAAAGTCGTGGAAACAAATGAGGCAGGACACTGTTATTAATGTCCACTTAATGAGGTTTGGTTTTATTTAAAAAGTGTATAAACATGCATTTTTCTCCTTTTAAATTTTTCTTTTCAACTTACTCATTCAAAACGGGTCAAACATATTTTAGTTGGTAGCCAATTTCTGAGAATGTACCATAAAATGTTTATCCCAATAAATCTACTTACTGTGAACTGAACATACTCTGAGCACTGCTTTGTAAGCACTTACAATTTGGCTATACATTTGTGGCATAAACTTCACTTTTTAACCAAATAAAACACAAAGTTGTCTATAGACTGCATTATTTTTTCAAAGTCATAAATTTAAGTGATGCAGCTCTATCCTCTAGTGTGTACTGTACGTATTAGAAAGATCAAACGAGATATTGCAATAGAGTTTTTGCATTTGGAAGCAGCCCGAGTATGTCCTAATAATAAATTGCCTCTTTAACTATTTGCTAGATATTCTAGAGTTCATTTTGTTTGTTTCCTTGGGGAACTTCACATTATATTCTGACTTAATGAGTTGGAGAGATTAATTATGGTAATTCAGAAAATGCTTTTATAAAAACTGTAATATAAACACAGCTCTTGTGAAACACTTTAATTTCCTTTTGCTTGTTATAATTCTCAGATGGGTCAATTACAATGACAGGTTAAGTTGATTCTACATATAACCTTGATTTCTTTTCTTTTTCTTTTTTTTTTTTTTTAGCAAGCTTAGTACATCTTTGCTACCTGCATATTGTAATGCCTATTTAGCCTTAAGACTTAAATTTCTTTCTTTGACCCCTTCTTTTTGTCAATAGTAAAAGCCACCTTTCTGCTTTTCTTTTTATTGACTCAGTCCCTGATATTCAAAGAAGACTTTGCCAACACCACTGTTCCTTTGCATCTTCCTATTCCTACACCCCAGCTGCAAACCATCTAACGTGATTGGTTCCAACCAGCATATCCAGCCTAGCTTACAGTACAGAAACTCCCTTCACATTCAGTCTTGTTCTTCATGTCACGAGGAGTAGAGATTTGTGCTTATCACCAAAAAAAATTGCAGTGCAAAATTTAAACATAAAAGTTACACAATTAAAAGTTAATATATGGCACCACAGCCTATTAATTCACATATAGTACAACAGACCAATAAAAACAGACAATAGTATGAACAGATCTAAAAAGAGTGAGCTTGCATAGCAATGCACAAAAGAAATTATATACAGAGGAAAATCCTTTTCTTCCTGGAGGGCGAGTTTGCTTTTCTTTTTTTTTTATATACTCCTGACAAGAAAGAGTTAAGGTGGGTGGTGTAGTTAAGAGAAGAACACAAGTAAAATATCTGTGGGATATGTGTGGCTGTGTGTCTTTACATTGCATTTACAGTTCTTTTAATTGTACATAAATAAAGAAATTGTTCATTGCACTGTTTAGTGTCATCACTTCCATGAGTTCAGACCTGGTGGTCCTTCAGAGCAGCTTTGCATGTCTCCTCTCAGTTACTCTACAAAGAGATGAAAAAATCAGAAATAAGTTTGCATTGAAATTAAGTAGTCTTTCATCCTGACCAGCACAACAAAAAGCAAAGCGAATAGATAATAAATGAAGAGAACATCATCAGACAGATTTTGTGAGTGTGTAAAGTTGGGAAATACAGTGATGGGAGGGGAAGAAAGAAACATTGTAAAATCTGGAGATTTAGAATCCACGTAGAGCTATCTGTGCACATCTCCTGTGAGTTTATAGTCACTCTAAAATAAAAGTCAAAGCAAAACCCAAGTAGTCACGAATCAAATTAAAAATTATAAACATATCTTAATAATCAGATCAGTATATGTAAGCGTAATAGTAATGCCATGTTTTAGGTCAGGAAGTAGAGAGATTGGGAAGGTAGTTTACTTGCTCTGGGTTGAGAAGACTGGAACCCAGGGCTGCTCCTTCAGCAGTGCTTTTAACATGAATCCAAACAAGCAGATGAAAATATTCGACAAGTATAATTCTGACGTTGGATAGCAGAATTGGTAAATTTCATGAAAAAAAATTAACACAAAGAATTCAGTGCTTCTTCCTGTGACATACTGTGACATGCTATCTTTCTCTGTTGCCTGGTATTTTATTTTTATAGATTAGTTATACTATCAATGTTGGCTCTTTATTCAAAAAGAAATTTATTTATAAAATATGTTTTTATAATCAAAGATCAGCTTTACAAGGTCAACTGCCTAAATTTAAAAAATAAATAAATAAATGAAGAGCAACTAGGGAATGAGGAATTCCTGAGGTTCTTTAAAAGGCAAAGTGGACTATGTTTAATTAACTTCTAAATATTAAGATTAATTGCCTAAATATAGGCAATTTTTGTATAGGGTAAATCAGACTTGAAGTAGAAGAAATATTCATTTAATAGATGGCTGTAAATAGCAGTGGTCTACATTATGACTGAACCTGCCCAAAATCATAATCGATTTTTTTCTCATAGCAAAGAAAGATTTCTACTATTCTGAAATTTGTTTATAGTCCCAATATTATTGATGAGGCTCAGGACATGCTACCCCAAAATATGACACCTTGGCATACTGAATATATCGAAAGCTGAAGAAGTCTGAGAAACCAGCAGAGGCAGGAAAGTCACTCTGACCTCCCTCCTCCCCACTGGCTCTTCTTTTCTGAAATGGGTCATAAAACTTCCACATGAAAGTTACCCTCCCTTTACCAGAGGAAGGAAGACATTCTTATTCCCAGGGACAGAGAGTTATGGGACCGAGAAATCTGTGCAAACAAACCTTGTTAAACTAACCTTTATCTTCCTAGTTACTTCTTTACCATTGACTACTCCCCTACCCAAACCCCTCGGTCTCATAAAATCTTCACAAGTTTATGGTTTCTTTGTCTAAAAAATATAAAAGCTTTCTACTCTGGTCACTTCTTTGGGTCTTCATGCTCTTCTGAAATCACCCATGAACATGTAAAAATTCAATAAAATTTGTAGGCTTTTCTCCTGTTAATCTGTCTTTATCAGTTTAACTTTCAGACCCAGGCTGGGACCCTAAGAGGGTCAAGGAAACTTTTTCCTCCCCTACATTATTAACCCACTCTTTGTTCTCAATCACCAGAGCCTTTTAAGTGTCCTAAAGCACTTACATAATTCACCTGTAAACTGTCCTTGACTATTTGAGCCCATATATCCTATTTCAAGAAGGTCGCTGGCATTGCGCTGGTGACTTCCCCTCAACGCCTCGGCTTTCCTTGGTCCAGTGGATCCTTTAGAAGAAGCTGTTCCTGATGAGCTGTGACCTCCTGGAGATGGGAAACTGGGCTTGCTGTAGGGCACCAATGTCTCCTCTGAAAAAGAAACACAAAGTGCTAAGCTGACGAGCAACAAGGAGGCAAAACAAACTTTTAATACTAAGTTCACAATGGGCTATTTTACCATTTCACTCTTTTTTTTAAATAAAGACTTCTTATTTATTTATTTGACAGAGAGAGACACAGCAAGAGAGGGAACACAAGCAGGGGGGAGTAGGAGAGAGAGAAGCAGGCTTCCCGCGGAGCAGGGAGCCCGATGCGGGGCTGGATCCCAGGACCCTGGGATCATGACCTGAGTTGAAGGCAGACGCTTAACGACTGAGCCACCTGGGTGTCCCCATTTCACTCTTCAGTAAAATTAAAAATAAGAGGTTTAATAAGCCCAGATATTTAAAAAATTTCCATGTGCAGATAACATTTCTGATAATAGGATCTAAAACAGGATTAAATTAAAAGAAATTTGGGGATAGGGGCCCTGGGTGGCTCAGTCAGTTAAGTGTCTGCCTTCAGCTCAGGTCATGATCCTGGGGTCCTGGGATTGGGTCCTGGGATGGAGCCCTGTGTTGGGCTCCCCTCTCAGCAGGGAGTCTGCTTCTCCCTCTCTCTCTGCTCCTCCCCCCGTTCATGCTCTCTCTCTCTCTCAAATAAATAAATAAAATCTTAAAAAAAATAAATTTGGGGATAAAAATGTTATATATCATTTGCAAAATTTAAATTTATTAATAAAAGGGAGTTGCATACAGTGAACCATATTGTTTAACAAAAGCATTTCTGAGTATAATTTCTGGTGTTCAGTGTGGCTCCAATTAAATTTTTCAATTAAGATTGAAGAAACATGGTTTTTGTTTCACTTTATAGCAACATTTTCTCAATTTGGATAAAGAACTATATTATTTAAAATAAGCTTCCTAAATTTTTGTTGTTTCTGGCGATAGAAACACATTATTTTAAAGATTGTGTATTTCCTTAACAGAAAAAGAGAAATACACATTTTCATAAATAAATAATAATAAATGAAAACATATTTTATGTATCAATTCTCTACAAATAACACAATGTGTATTAAGTACCTAATATTTTGAAACATTTTTTTCTTTCTTTCCTTCTTTCTTCTTCTTTTTCTCTCTACCTCTTCTTTTTTTTCCTTCTTTTAGGTATGGCCATTATTATTACTGTGATAACTGTTTCTCTCCTTAGATGGTCTTTATGAAGTCTCAAGGATCACATACTTTTTCTCTCACAGCCTGAATGATGTAAGCTTCCTAAATGTTTCACTAAGTCTAGGTATTAAAATTGACATATTTTGGCTCTTGTATATATTACATTTTCTAAAACCTTAGGCACCAAGTTGTGACATCATATAATTTTTGAAAATGCATGGGTAGTGGACATATCTAGAAAAGATTGAGTCCAAAGTAAAAAATAAATGTGTAAAGAAACTCTCAAATGTTGTTGTGTGTGTGTTTGTGTGTATGTTTTAATACTCAATGAAAGTGAATCCAATATGAGAAGAATGTTCCAGAAAATGTATTTCTATAATAGGTCCCAACAGCCACTACCCCTTCCAAAAAAAAATCCAACCACAAATGATGACATTTATTTTGGGACAGTTCCAGGAAGCTTGATTTATAAACAAGAATATTTCCCTGTGAAGTGTTAACAATCAACTAAATTTAATCAGTTGGAGAAAGTACAGGCCCAGTTTAACCTTTTCTATCCTGAGATATTTGTGTGCATTTATAAGCAACTTTGTTATTTCAATGAATTCAATGATTTGACTGAAGTGAGTTCTGCTTTCAAAATGACTAGTTACTTCAGTCAAAATGAAATTGGTTGAAGGCAGGGATTAAATTGACATTAAGATGAAATTTAGAGGTCTTAAAAGTATTTCAATATAAACATTAAAAGGCAAAAAATCAAATTGTCTCCTGAACAATACAGGTGAAGCTTGGAGGTCTCTCGAGCTCAAATACCCCTATGCAGAGGTTAACTTGAGGAAAAATCCCCACGGGAATCAGCCTTAAGGTGTGTGTAGGTAAATTCTGCGGAGGAATCCCAACTTTTCAGTGACTCAAGGCAAACTTTTTTCAGATGCTCTTAAACAACTGCCACTTCTAAAATACCTGGTAGGAAAACAAAAGGTAAAAGTCCACACTTTCCTGGGACTGTGCAGAACACACCTGGTCCAACACTTTGTTTGTGTAGGGCTTTCCGTATATCTTCTTGGCGTTCTGTAGAGTTTATCCATTCTTGGGTTTGTCGCTGCCACTCTAGGGACGTTCTAGCTGGACAATCCAATGAGCTCTTTGTGTCTTCTAAGTTGGATGCTGGTGGTGTCTCCAGAGAGCTTCCTTTTCTCTCTGTTGAGTTTTCCACGTTACCAGCATGCTGGCTCGGGCCTATTTGCTGCCTTAAACCCTGACCTGGAGGGGGATCTGGTGGTGGTGGAAGATCTAAAAATTGTGAATAATGTTTAGAATGGACTAAAATTTAATGAAAAAATACAGGTTTTAATTCAAGATGAAGAAAAAAACCCGTGCCATCTTAAAAGTCTCACTCATGCAAAACAAATTTGGGGGGAGGAGGCGGGGGGCAAAGGTCAGTTATTTCTATCTAAAATGCCTATTATTGATCTCTTTGCTATATTTGGATCACAGTGTCTTTGAAACAAAATCGACTGATTTCAACTATTATATGCGGACAGTGTTTTCAATTGCACATTGAGGCTAACGTTCAAGGTATAAAAGGCAATTTTTGTGTTCTCCATATTTTCTCCATTGTCCACCCCCACCTCCTCAAAGTAGACATATCGTGACACAAAATGACTAGACACTCTAGCAGCTGCGTTAATGAAAGGCCCCGAGAAGAATAAAGGTTATCCTGCCGATCTCCATCGGAAATGTTGCCCTCAGGAAATTAAGAACTATATGCCATATTATATGCAACATATGACTGCCTTTACCCATGTATGTGGTACATTTAGCAACAGTCAAAGGGTTAAGCTAACATTTATTAAATGCAATTAACATTCTGCCTGACAACCAATTCTGGCTGTTCGTTTCATGAGTTAGCTAATGAGTTACAACTAATACATTATAATCTTCCAGTGTATTAATTTTAGTAAGTAATAACCAATGTTCAGAGTACAGATAAAATATGCTTCATGGTGCTAGAATAGACAAGTCATCATAAAAATTTGAGATGTAGTAGAATAGATAACTTTGCAAAAAAGCTCTTTAAATTAAATATAAGATATGAAAAAATCAAAAGTTCGAACGTGCAGCTAATTTCTCATTTTCCTTTCATTAGCTGTTTGGATCATGACACCTTTATATTTTGATTGTCTTCAACCGTGATCTTAATCTCTTCTTTCATCTTTCTTTAAGTAGTGTACTAGTCCTATTATGTGATTTATATCATTATACTAGTTCTAAAATTACTTTGTTGAAGATTTTGAAATCTCCTGAACATTCTAAACACTACTACCTTCTAATTTTTCTGGCAATACTATTGCAAACTTCTCTGTTCATCCTTAGAATATCAGTGATTACATTAATTGTTCATAAAATCAAATATCATATGCACTACAAATTTATATTATTAATAGGGGCTGTTGCATATAATATTAGTCCATTATTTCCCATATCGTTGTATTTGTGCTCTTATTTCTAATAATACTATTTGTGAAATTTAAAAGGAAAAAGCACAAATCTTTTGTGAACAAAAGATAGCTTCCTTAAGGAAGGCTAAGTTGTTCTTTTTAAAGACTTTAAGAAGCTTTATATTCTCCCTTAATGAGAAATGATATCATCCTCCATTGAATTGACAATAATACTCTCCTCTGCATCTGCTTTGGGAGTTCCCATGTTGAAGCAGAATTCCTAGTTCTTATGTATGTTCTCTTGTTAGATTATGAATTACTAATTATTGAAGGGAACAGCATTTCCATCTTGGAGAATAAAGTTGCACTTGGAACATTTCTTCCAAAATGAAGAGCTAATCCAATATTGTGATATCTGTTTGTAGAATAATCCACCAATGAGTTTAGTGTTTCCTTTTATTCAATACTGACTTCCTTTAGTATGTATTATTATAAATGTAAAGTAATTATTTCATTTGTGTGTTTGGACTTAAGACTGCCAGTTGTGGGGAGGAGCAGGAATTATTATATTTGCTTTCAAAATAACATATCTGGTCATTGATTTTTATTCTCCATCAAAGCAGCTTCATTTTAAAAATGGCCAAAATGGCATCTGCTTATGCTAGCCAAAATTCTGCTTACTATTTAATTTAACCTGAAATTATATGGCTACATAATTAAGTAATATACTTGGAGTTTTTATATTCTAAGAAGAAAGAACATGGCATGAACATTGAAATAAACAAATTGGGAAAAAGATGGATTAAGAATGACTGCAGCAAAAATAAAAGTATGTAATCAAATATGTTTACTTAAATTTATTATTCATTTCCATGTTGATTCATTTCAAATAAATCAATTCACTGAAGAGTCTCTTACTGGCCTACTGAGGATTTCTTATTGTCAGGCACACAACAGTCCAATGAAATATGTGCTGTTATTATCCTCTTTTTCAGGTTAAAAAAAAAAAAAAAGGCAAAAAGAAATCAAATATCTACAGCTGGGATCTCCCCTTCTGTGAGCTCCAGACTCACGTGACTAAATCCATACTGAGGAGTTCAACTTAGATGTTTAGAAAGTATCTAAAATTTCACATATCAAAACTGAGTTCTGGACCTTCCTCTACAAGATATGCTTCTTCTGTAGTGTTCATCATCTCAATTAGCAGCAATTGCATTCTACAAGTTGACCAAGACTTTGGAGTAATCTTTGACTTCCTTGCCTTACAGCCTGTGTTAATTTCATGAACAAATCTTGTGGGCTCTGCCAAGCTATAGCCAGAATTCAATCTTTCTCATTGCTTCCACTGATTCTAACCTCGGGAGGAACCTCTAACATCTCTTCCCTATATGACTTCTACAACCTCTTATGCGGTTTCTGTGCTTCCGCACAGAAGCACATTTAGTCTATCTTGACGTAACAGCTAGAGTGTTTTTTTTAAAAATAGAAGCATAAGTAAGATCATGTTACTCCTTCACCTTAAACACACACACACACACACACACACACACACACACACCCCTTCGATGGTTTCCCATTCAAAGTAAGAGCCAATGTCCTTATAGAAGCTTAAGATCCTACAAACACTGGCCCTCACTGACTTGTCTAACTTCATATTCTATTTTGTTGCTCTCTCTGCCTCAGTCACACTGCTTCTCTTACTTTTCAGCAAATAAGCTTCAGGCTTCCACTTGCCGTCCTCATGCCCTGGAATGACCTTTCCTTGATATCAGCATTGCTCTTTTCCTTTTAATCTTCCAGTCTTCTCCACTGTCATTTACTTGGTCAAGCTTTCCCTGAGACTTTATTTAAAAAAGACCTCCCCCCCTTTATCCCCGGTATTTCTTGACTTCCTTCCTATGTTTTTTTCTCCATGACACTTACCACCATCTTATATACTTTTATTTTCCCTTATATAATTATGTTGTTCTTTATCTTCCCTCAATAGAATGTAAGCTCCAAAAAGGCAGGGAATTTTGCCTGTTGGTTTCCAGCCTATCATTTGGCACGGGAATGAATAGATTGATGAATAAAGGAATTTGCTTAATGGTACAGGCTAGTTTGTAGCAGAGCTAGTTTGTGGAAGAGGAAAGAGTCCCTTCTCTAACCAGGACATTAGGAACGAGGGGAGAACAGACTGGAAGGCAATGATCTCAGGAAAAAAGGTTGATGGATAGAAAACTACTTTCTCTGCTTTCTTTCTTCAGCATTTGTCAATATATTCGTTTTAAAGGGTATTCTTTAGCTTATGCAAATGGAATAGAAGATTTCAATTGAGCAATGCCTGCTTAGAAGAGTCTTTATTCAAGGCAGAAGAAGAATCCTCGATGTGTGTGTTGGGGTTTGCTTTGCCTTTGAGACAGAGACTGATGTTTTTCACCACTCCCAGTTCCTCCTACTAGACACAAGAAAATACTATTTTCCCACTCTAGTCAGTAGTCTGATGTCATGTGCCAGTGCTCTTGTCAAGGAAATGAGGAGTGACATGTGCCACTTGCAGGCCTGACCATAGAACTTCCCAGGTGATCACCCAGATTTTGTCTTCCCCTCGCTCAGAAGCCATACATGTCTCACTTTAAAAATAATGGTATCCCATGTGGAGAAAGGGGAACCCTCCTACACTGTTGGTGGGAATGCAAGCTGGTGCAGCCACTCTGGAAAACTGTATGGAGGTTCCTCAAAAAGTTGAAAATAGAGCTACCATATGATCCAGCAATTGCACTACTGGGTATTTACCCCAAAGATACAAAAGTAGGGATCCGAAGGGGTACGTGCACCCCGATGTTTATAGCAGCAATGTCCACAATAGCCAAACTGTGGAAAGAGCCAAGATGTCCATCGACAGATGAATGGATAAAGAAGATGTGGTATATATATACAATGGAATATTATGCAGCCATCAAAAGGAATGAGATCTTGCCATTTGCAACGACGTGGATGGAACTGGAGGGTATTATGTTGAGTGAAATAAGTCAAAGAGAGAAAGACATGTGTCATATGACCTCACTGATATGAGGAATTCTTAATCGCAGGAAACAAACTGAGTGTTGTTGGAGTGGGGGGTGGGGTGGGAGGGATGGGGTGACTGGGTGATAGACACTGGGGAGGGTATGTGCTCTGGTAAGCGCTGTGAATTGTGCAAGACTGTTGAATCTCAGATCTGTACCTCTGAAACAAATAATGCAATATATGTTAAGGAAAAAAAAAAGAAGAAGAAGAAGGTAGCGGGAGGGGAAGAATGAAGCGGGGGAAATCGGAGGAGTGGACGAACCATGAGAGACGATGGACTCTGAAAAACAAACTGAGGGTTCTAGAGGGGAGAGGGGTGGGAGGATGGGTTAGCCTGGTGGTGGGTATTGAGGAGGGCACATTCTGCATGGAGCACTGGGTGTTATGCACAAACAATGAATCATGGAACACTTCATCTAGAACTAATGATGTAATGTATGGGGATTAACATAAGAATAAAAAAAAATAAATAAATAAAACACAGGAAAAAAAAAATAATGGTATCCCAATATTGGAGAAGCATACATCCTCACGTTACTACTTAGAGGAGAGCCACCTGACCTTTATAAATTACTGTGTCCATGAGAAACAAACTTGCTGTACTAAGCGACTGTTTGGTATAGCAGCTGCCAGTAATTAGCCTGATTAATTTACTCACCAAATATAATTCTAAAATGTATAAAGCAAAAGTTTTAGTATAAAAATGTCTATACACTAAGTGCTACTAAACAGCAGCCTTCCCTAAAAGAACAGTTTGATTTTACATACAAATATTATAAAATTAATACTGATGCATGGATTCATACCATATCAATCTATGGCACATACATTTACTATAAAATAACAACATCCTTAAAGATAATCTATAGAGTGCCATCCATAATAAATGTCCTCCTGTCATAACTAGAACATAGTTGAATCATAAACTTGGGAAGACAAGGGAGCCAAAATTTCCCTTGCAGTATCACTACTTCCAAAGTATATCTACAAACAACACATAATCCATAACCCCCTTTTGAAATGCTGGCAACTTTAAGAGTTAGGGACCTGTTTCTTGTTTAGAAAGATAAGTAATAAATTGATCATGCTTTAAAGTAGGAGGCAGCTTGCTTTAACCAGACTTTCTGAAAAACCTTGCAAGAAAAGTATTTTAGGAAGAAAAGGAGTGCTCTCCATTTTGTTGGTTTATATTTTTTATCTTCCACATATTCTGGAAATAATCTTCAAACATTTCAGAAAAAAAAATTTTTTTCTCTTTCCACAACATTGATAGCAGGAAAACTATAAAAAATTGTTAATTCTGAGTTTTATGACTACCATATCAATGGGGTTGGTCCTTTTTATCTAGAGGGAATAACATCAACACTACTGACTTTTTTAAGTGCTCAACTAATCTTCAGATCATCTGAGGCAGAAAGGCAGTGGTGAGAATTTTTGTTCACCACAGGATATTCGTTTATAAAGGAATCAAAATCTTGAGTGCACCCTCACCCTCAAATTCCACAGAAACACTTCCCAATGAAAACAAGGTAACAGGAAAGATAAGTAAACCTGAAAGCTTTTAGAACAAGTTATGGTTGACTTTTAAAGTTGGCCCTGAATTACAAAATGACAAACGAAAGCACAAAGATGGCAGCCAGATACAGACCCTTCCCCCCAAACCAATAAAGAGTAAGTACTTTCCCAACTAAGCCTCATTCTGTCCTATAATGGTAAGTCTAAGAGACTGAAATGAATGCTATGGACTCCGTCATAGCTTCTCAATGCTGACTGCACATTAGATTCATTCATGGAGCTTTAAAAATACCCATAATTGGTTTTCACCCAGAACAATTAAATCACAATCCCCAGGGTATAATTCAAGAGCTCCCTAGATGGTTCTAATGTGCGGCTTGGCTAAGTTCATCCTTTTGGTGTTTAGTAGAACCACCTCAGGATAAAGTTTGTGTGCCTGTAGGGGATAGCGCTGAGAAGGGGGAAGAAATTTACCTTTGGGTCGGGCATTATACTAGGCTATTGACATCAATCATCTTAAATATTCCTTAGAAGAAAACCTCAGGATAAATATTTGTATTCCTATTTTTAAATGTCTGAGAATTAAGTTGAACATGTGGGAAATAGATCCCACTTTATAGAGATGAACTAATCTTTAGTGAACAAGGACATCTCCAGGAATATTGTACTTCCTGAAACCAGCAAATACTCAAAGACTGAATGCTATACATAGATAAAAGAATTGAAATAGATCAGCAAACTATGGTCCATGGGCCAAATTCAGCCACTGCCTGTTTATCAATAAGGTTTTGGAAATCATTCACACTCAATTCATTTTTTTTTTTTTTTCGATAATACACTTGAACTACAATGGCAGTGTTGAGTATTTGTGACAGAGACTGTATGGCCAGGTAAAGCCAAAAATATTTACTATCTGGACTTTTACAGAAAAGTTTGCTGACCCATCGACCAGATGATCTGTAGTATGCTTTTAGCCCTGAAATTTATAAAACTAAAAAAATTGTTAAATTACAAAGCACTTCATGGTTTTTTCAAAAGTGAAATACCATCTAAGTTCTCTTAATCTGATGTCAGAAATGTCCCAAGTTTAAAACAGAAATGCACGGGAAGTGCATGTGCTACCTACGTTTTCTTTCCTAACCTCAAAGAGGAATGTTCATTAAAAAGCATTAATGGAAAATGCCAGAATGGCAGCAAGATCAACATTGAAAAGTGGTATGGCACACATTTCTTGGGGCTTGGTAATACAGAGATAATTCCAGATTGTTAGAAAAGAGGGTGTTTTATTTGAACAAGACCATATTGTTAGGTTTTCTGCCTTGTTATATAATGAGGCAATGCCTAATCTACCATAGCTACTTTAATCTAAGTTAATGATTTGCACAGAGCGCATCTCTTCAGTGAGGAGACAAGAGAGAAGGAAACAAACCTACCATCTGTCATTCCTTCCCTTCGATGAGGCAATGCTGGTTGTTGGTCCATTCGCCCTCCCTTGTGTTTTTTAGTGGGCCGAGGCCTCTGACTTTGACTCAGGGCTGCACTGGTATTACTGTCAGTAGAAAATGGGCTGGTTGGCCGAGGTCTTTGAGAGGAGGTAAAAGCTTTGCCTAAAAAGAAAACAAAGGGAATGGGGTATAGAGAAGGTCATAAGGCAGTGATTCTGCCTGTTTTGTATTTCTACTCTACTTAGCCTAACCTGTAAGCTTGCCTAGAGATGCCATTTGAAGATATCAAGTACTGGTGCATCTCCATAAAAAAAATATGCCTTGTTGCATTTATTTTACCCAATTTTTAGTAACCAACACACTGCCCACTGAAAAAATTCAAGCAAATGGATATAAAACAAATCCACCAACCCAAAACTTGATATTACTTGATTATATTTTTATTTAACCTTGACGATCTTAGTGATATTTTCATGGATATATGCAAATTCACGCTGCTTTTACTTCTTAAAATTAAAGAAGTTACTTCTGAACTGAATTATGTACTTCTTATTTGCTTAACCAAATTTTATCCATGGAATCTTACAAACTCACTTTGAGCACAGAAAAAGGTCCTGAAGTAATTGCATTTGACAAATCTACATGAAAGATCTGCTCAGAGACATATATTAAACTGACCTTACCAACCCATACAAATGCACGATGAATTTTACCTCTTTTACAGAAACTCAATAACATTAGTGTATAGTATAGGATAGATAGCAGGTTAAATTCACCTTGCATATCCAAAGTGCAATAGGTATTTTCTGATGACTATTATTGTATCTGAGCAGACTCCAAATTCTCATTGAAAAATGAAATTGTGTTATGTCCTTTTCTCGAGGTTTAGTACATACGCAGGGAAATTTATTTTGTGAAAAGGGTAGCTAATAAATGTTCAACATCTTGTGATTTTAATAGAATGTTTATTATGGTAAGGGAGGGTTATTTTATGTGCATGTATTTATTCTCTTGTGCATGCTTTCATTTCACACAAAATTATTGTATGTAGTTACATTTTCTTAAGTCAATGTGACATGATATTGCTTAATGCTTTATTAGCCATTAGCATACATGTAAGAAATGCACTTACGCCTTCTAATTTATTAGTTTCCTTGCACTTTCTTACTGCTGTGCTTAGAGCTATACCACAAAAAGCAAGAAAATTCAAATAACCGCTCTATTACAACATATTTTAGTTCGGATGCTATATGAAAAATAAACCTCTGCAATGCTTGGAAACATTTTTTTATACGCTTGAAGATTCCTAATGCGTACTCAAAAGAAATACTGATAGTATAATTCAAAGAAAACTTCCAAGACTCCTTTTTATCACCCGAGAGTTTAGTGAAGGGTCAAAATCATTTTTCTTCAGTTTACTAGTTTAATACTATTAAGATTTCAAAAATGCGTTAAAGGCTTCATTAGTTTGTTTTGTAAGGTAGCTCCATTTAGTTCATATATTAGAACCTTCTTATAAGTTCATTTAAGAAGTACAGTCATATAATAGCATGGATCATGCCAAAGTTATTTTGTTTCAGTCAAACAACAAACACAAATTACTGATCTATTATTAGAATGTATCTCACATTTCTTTTGGGGAAAAGAATCTGATACATGAAAAGTTATATAATTGGTACTCAATTGTTCTCAGAAACCCAAATTAGATATGGCAAGAGCAATACGCATGTAGTCATCATTTTATTCAAGTTGCAAATGCAGTGGGTGTATCTTTAATTAGCATCCTTTAAAACAGATAATAAATTATTGGGTTAAAATTTTAACAGCCAAACAATTAATAAGACCATCAGCCATTTGAACTGTTAGACTGACAGCCTTAGACCCATTCACCCCATGCTGAGAAAGCCTTCCCAGAAAATGCATTTGCAGAAAGAAATGGGGCAAAGGAAAGTAATGGCGATAAAAGTCGAATAATTTTAATCACTGAGCACACGATCGATTGTGTGAGAATTTTGCAACATGTGAGTTATTGAAAATTTAATGACAATCTCAGTTGCAGCTTGGTTGTAATATAAAAAGGAAGCATTTTCCATTTAATCAGCAGAGCCACGAAGGGAAAGGGAAAGAACGGATAGAAGGTGGTGAGTAGGAGCCTATTCTTGGCTCTGCAAAAGTAGCATCAGAAGAAAGTTCTGGTAATTGAGGATCGCAACGGTGGTCATGCATATCACAGAAAGCCCTGCAGTCAGACTTACTGAGGAGAAAGAACAGGAGAAAAATATTTCAGTGTCTAAAGGACAAGATTCTCTCATGCAAAGATGCAAAGAGTGTGGACTCAGGGTCTACCAACCTGTTCTTGTAAGGCTGGTTCCATGCAGCCTAAAACCAGCTTTATCTGCTGCTGCCACCAATGCGTGCGCAAAGCTGCCGCTGGCCAAAATGGAGCCATCGGAGGAGCTACCTACGCTAGATCTATGACTAGAAAAGTTACGATCCTCATCAGATGCAGAGCCCCATCCATTTACCATTGAACCTAAAAACAAATGTAGTTGTCTAGTGAGTGGTATATATTGGACAGCCCATCTCCTTGCACACACTCTACTAAGGAACAAGTAGGCTGCCTCAACTCCTCACTCCTCCTTGAGGCAAATCTGGTTTCATCCTGACTTCTGCAGCCACATGCAAGCATCCTCCATGGTTGAAACATTCCTAGTGCAGAAGAATGAATCTCCTTTAAAACCTGTACCTGTTTGCGACACATAAACAAAACATGTTTCGTATGGTTCCAGTCTGACATTGTTTAAATTATCACGTAATCATTTTCTGAAAGAGAATTGCTATGTATATTTTAAGCCCGACAATTCAGAGAAGAACACTTCTATTGAAATAAATCGTAGTGTATTTAAAGTAGACTTATCAAGGACTCCGATGAAGGAAGAGGGTGAACATATATTTTGAATTTAATGCAGACTCAAACGATGATTTCCATTCGACATACACTGGTATACACTGGAAGTGCTAGAATCATTTCAAGATTTTAAAATACAAATTGAAATAATCAGGAAATATAACAACAAACACTATAAACAAAAAAGGTATAAATAGTGTCAGAGCATATAGACTTAGAACAAAAGAAAAAATGTATCTTTTAAAATTTCTATTAATTTCAAAGCTCAGGATGCTTTCTTTGCTTTTTAATTGTTTTAAGAACTCCAGGTTTCTCTTTACGATGAGTCTTTGTTTTAGAAAATTAACCATTATGAAGGATATAACTGGCATTAATACGGATTTTTCTGCAAAATGCAATATGGCAATAGAAGAAAAGAACTGCACTTTCATGTGTCAAGAACTGCAAAATATGAAGATGTTGAGAATAACTTGTATTTTTAATTTTTCAGCAAGTCATTTACAAGTTTAGATTTTTTTCTTAGACCAAGGCACACGGAAACCTTAATCTATTACTTAATACAATTAATATTACAATATTTATTAAGTTGTGTACCATTAATTTATGGCACAATAAAGTGCCAAGTGTCGCTTAGCCTAACTTTTTAAACAGAGAGCCAAAAAAATATTTATAAGAAGCTCATTTATGCTTTCTACATTAACCAATTACATATTCACAAAAAAGAGATTAAAATCAAGTGCCGTAGATTCTCCCCCCCACCCCTTTTCTCCAGTGTTTAAGAGACAACAGTATAGTTAGGAGTGTTGCTGTGATGCAGTATTTGTATTTTTAGTCCAGGTGCCAAGATACAATCACACGGGTTCATGCACTTTCAAGAGAGAGAAAACAGAAACCAGAGGGGTTAGAAGGACCTGAGAAGTTAAAAGGGTGTTAAGTGTAGCAGAGAAAGATAGAGTTTTGATTCTATTTGCCAAAAGCACAGAGATACACTTTTTACTTTCCAAACAAATTCCCCTGACACAGGCCACTGCAAGGAAGGCCAGATAACAGCAGCAACTGAGCCTCCTCTGATAGAACCATTTCTGAGTTAATAATCACAAGTCAAGCACCAACAGCCCAAAACGAAAGGAGAAATGATGCAATGGGCTTTGCAATATAATGTTACAGCAGATAAGAAAAAAATCAAAGTGATTCAGTCAGTGATCACCGGAGAATATGAAACCCTAGAACTGAGGATATTTTTGAAATTCGTGAGGGCTCCGTCCTGGTCTCTTCTATGCACCATTTTCTGTATTTCTAAAAGTCTGCAGAGCATCTGCAACTAAATCCGTGTCAGCTCTCTGAAACTCCCTCTCCAAACAAGCATCTCTTATTTCTCCATCTCCAATTTCATTCTTAGGCGCCTCCTGATTTCCTTCTGGTCCCTTCTATCTTCCTCATTGTCAGCTGAATTATTTTTCTCATTTATCATGTAATTTTGTTCCTCCATTCAAAACCTTACCCAGTTTGCTAATGCCACATCTAGATTCCAAGTTAAGACTTTGAGATCCTTCAGGATCTGGCCCCGCCTACCTTTCCAGCCCTCCACCCTCTTAACAGCCTGTGTATTCCCACTGCCTGACCTACATACATAGCATTACTTCTGGTTCCTTTGACACACCTCTGGATTGTCACTAACTCTATTGACCACCGCCAAACTTGAAAGTCCCAATCCATATCCCTTTTATCACCTTGGTTCCACCTCACCTTTAACCCTGTCTTAGGAGGAATCAATTTGTCTACTTCCTGTGTTTTTCAAATAGTATGCATATAGTAGCATATCTGGCCTCTACAAACTACAGTTCCTTGCATATAAATGGCTCTTCTTCTAGACAGTGGAACTCTGGAAATTAGGGACTCTTACTCATTTTCATATTTCTTCTATGGGGGCTTTGCCCAGGAAAAATTCAACAAACATCGAGCATATGGAATTAAATGTCTTCAGTGTTCTCATTATTTGCCATAAATCCTACATGTAATTCTATCTCATGTGCCATTTCCTAGCAATGAACTTATTTTATTTACAGAAAAAAATATACTCATAAGAACTTGTAGAAAATGTATTAAGTAAGGAATATAATGTCAGTCAACTCTTGTTGATAACTTGGACAATAGGAAAAGAAGTGAGTTATTACCCGAAAGGGAAAACTAAAAAATTAATTAATACACATATCTTAGCTATGCTTTGATATGCTTGAATATTGACATTTATCAATATCTTATTTAAAGTAAGATGATAATGTTATATGAAGTGGCGATTTGCTTTTTTTTCCTGCATTGTCCATCCACATTCAACCACCTATTTTAATGTACTTAGCCCATTTTTGTTTGTTTTAATTCTACTTTCTCCACTATAACCAGCCAAGAAATAACTGGATTTTCTTTCTTTCATTTTTTTTTCCTGTTCAAGTTGGCTTGCTGTGTGGTTTGAGCTTCAGGATTTATCATTTTGACAAATAGTCTCTGAACCTGAAAAAGTAGGAAAAGTCCTACACCACAGCAGTGTCACTAAAGAAATGGCACTCAGTGACATCTCTTAGCAGAGTTAGCTTGACTTTTTCAAAAACACCCTGTTCATCTCCTGCAGTAGTGAGTCCTTCATATGCAGATTTCAACCTACAAGTTTGCCAGTCCCTAAACACTTCAGCTACTTTGGTGCCTTTGCTCTGAGTTTATCTTGATTGTTAATGCTCCTTGTCATGCCCTCAGAAATCTCAGTTATTCATGAAATTTTCTTTGGTGCTTTCTTTTTCCTTTCCATGGGAAGAGAGAGTAGCATGGAAGACATGGCTTCAAGTAGGTTTTGGTCAATAAAGAAAGAACACCAGCTCTGTTTTCTTTGCTACTCTATGTAAGAGCTAAGAAACTAGACAGATGACTTCAAAGTTGAAGAGACACATGCCATACAGGTTTGGCCTTGGTGAGCAACAGGAAGCCTCATAACCCAAGCTAAAGAGGGGCAAGTGACCTCAGGTTAGTATAGTTGAGATCACCTTCAAAATGGAGGGCAAGAAGGAAACAAACAAAAAGAAGGCAATAAATTTTCTTTCCTCTTTGTCCCTCACTCTTTATCTTTGATAGCCCCTTGTCTCTATTTAAGTATGATCTATGGAATGGGTATATTTGTGGGGAGTATTTTAAAACAAAATTTGCAATACACCATGAAGAAAAAAATATATAACGTATATTAAATTTCTTCCATGTTGTATAATTATTACATTTATTTGGCAATCACTGATTTCACCTCTCTGTGGTTACCGTTCTTACTCTTTTTTTAGATTTAAGCATCAAGAATGATCTGAACATTTGGCTAAACCATCACAAAAAAAGAAGACAATGATAGGAAGGAAAGAAACACATTGATTCATGAATTAAAAAGTAAGCAAGTTTGGGGATAACTGGTTTTCTTTCATAAATGTAAATACAAACATAAACATTAAAATGAACACTCATTCACCAAGTGAATGAGTTCAGGTAGAGATTCTTTACAAATTATAAGCAATCCATACCATTTTGACATGTTATAGCCCCAAACATCATCAATACATATTTAAACATTTAATGAAAAATGAATTTATGTCACATAGCCAAATTTATTTGTGTTTACATTTTCAATCTTTGGAAATTTCTCAGGTTTAAAGTTGCTGAAAGGCCAAAAAATCTCAAATTTATTCAAGCTATTAAAGAACTGCATATAGCACATTAAGTTGTTGCTCAAATGTTACTGAGCAGTAAAATACTATGATAAAGTGGCATCTTGCTGTGTCTCTATTACATCTTCAGCACTAAAATTAATTTATGATCAGTCATCAATTCATTTACATGTCGCTTTATGCTAAATCCTTCCTTGCTGATAAATGCTTATCCTTAGATCCATTAAGCTAGAGTAGTCTGTGCTTTATAATATGACCCTGCTAATTGTTGCATTACCATTTTTATGAGATACAAAAACTGGTTGTCCCCCATTTTTTCAGCCAATATTTAATCCAGGAACTCTTCCTATTAAGTGCAATCAGTCTAAATATCTGTTAAATAAAATCTTCAGCTATAAATGTCTTTGGACAAATCAATCCAGATATTGACCTCTGCTTAAATGTAGAAAAACATGTCTAATCTTTAGAAATCCTTCTTTCACTCAAACATATTGAATATGCAACAATTCCACCTACATTCCTCAGAGGGAAAGAATGTGTAATATATAGGGAAAGCAAAATAAGTCATTACAAAATTTCTTCCTTGGGACATATGGCACCTGTTAACTTGTCCCACTCAGATAAAATTTGAATATATGATATTCCCCTTTTATCTGTTAAATTCTGAAGTATATGTTTAATTTCTTTTTAAATACATCACAGCTGTTGAAGTAGTCTAAGAAAGTGATTTAATTATTTGTAGCCTTATCTCTGAAATTCCCCTAATTCTAAAATATTTTCCTTGAGTGCAACAAAAGTAAGGCATCAGGTCACACTTTCTCGAGTGGCCAATTCTCTAAAAGCTGTGTGGTCGAGGAAGGTGGTGAGGCTGCCAGGTTTTACTGTTTTCAAAACGATCTGGTTGGGGAGTTCCAGTAAAAACCTCCAAGGACA